ATGTAGATACATGCCTGAACACTCATTCAACATATAACTGAACCGTTAATCTTCATTAGGTCAGATTATATTGTCTGTATTAGGGACCCCTTCCTGATGATGTAATAAAATAGGCGGAGTCTAATTGAACTGACTGCCGTAAAACGGGGCCTGAACGCAGACCAATAAACTGCCTCCAGACTGAGCTGCTCTCTCTCTCTGTGTTAGTTGTATGATCTCTTTTACATTCAATTTCCATGCATTGGTACATTCTCAGTGTACATAAACTGGTAAACGAACACGCTTAACAATACAGAAAAAAACATTGCTAGCGTGCAGGCAAAGTAGCAAAAAATTCTAGAGTTTTTCTACTCTAAATCATCATTAGTTGTTTGTACRGCTCAGAAAAGTGCTTCAAAACATCCTTTAGAACTATACTTTGGCCTTGAAGAGACTGAAAATTAAGGTATTTATTCATATTTGGACAGAATCCAAAAATCTCACTACGCTRATTAGCAAATTAAACTTTGGTTCTATGTGACGGGTCACAAGTGTTAAATCAAAAAGTCATATTTAAGAAATATAATAATAAAAATATTTGGTGTTGTATATCAGTTTTCAACTTCCCTGACTTCTAAAGCTCAAACCACCGCTACATACAACAGTATATATGGGGGCGGAGCTTAAAGATCAATCTCAAACATCTTATTAAACTGCACTTCAGTATAAGTACAACAGTAAAAWAAWTTCTTGTTTTTTGACGTCTGCTAGGTTTCTAAAGTAACACCTGCTCCTTTCTGACAGCAGAACCAATAGCGTGTACCTTTTAGTMCGTGGTAACTGGAAGATCTCCTGCCACAGATGAAACAAGCCTTTGTTCTGGTCCTTCTGTCCAACAGAGACATTCTGAACRGTTCTGGAGTCCAGCTGCTTGAGGCCGCGACCGTGGAGGAACTGCACAAACAAATAATACAACCTGTAACTATTTACTACAAACTCAGACAGGCGGGCTTTCCTTCCTTCACAGAACCGGGTGCACACCTGCAGCGTGTTGATGCAGGAGCGAATGTCGTTGTCCGTTTTCTCGCACAGCGACATCAGAGCGCCCGTGTCTGCTTTGAGCCCCTGTTGTAGGGAGATCTGCAAGCAACAACTCAAATAAAAAAAAAACAAGTTTGTGAGCGTATGCGTGAGAATATGCATGTACTAACCTCTGCAAGTCTCTGAGTGAGGCGGGAAGGCTGAGTTTGAGGGAAAGACAGGAGAAAGGCCTGCTGCCTGAGAGGTCTGAGAGCCGGAACGTAACTGAAGGAAAAACAGAAGCATGGTGAAAATCTGGTCCCCAACAGCAGGAGCCTACAGTTTCACGCTGCTGATAAACGTCTCTCATACAGGTCGTTGCAGATGCAGATGATTGGCCGAAGCAAGATGGGATCCTTCTTCTTTTTCTTCTTCGCAGCCTCTGTCGCTGCCTCTCCGCCGTGTCCGTCCTTCCTGTTCAGAACCGCCAACAGGATGTTGATGGCAGCCTGCAGGCAACAGCAGAGAACGAAAAACTTGCAACTAAAACTGCAAATTTATCAATCTTGTGCCCATATAAATGATACATTCAGATTATTTAATCCACAAACATAACTGCTGACAACTGCTTAACTTTTCAACTCAAACCGATTTAAATGACCGCCAAAGCCAACTGACCTTTAAAATTAAATAAAATAACACATAAAACTGGCTATAACTCAGTTAATTTTACAGATATTGAACTAAAAGCTGACGCGGTAGTAGCCGAGAATATTTTTCCTGAGGTTGTTTTCAGTTTGAGCAAAGCAGCTACAACTCCATTATTTCTCAACTTGAGCAGATTTTTAGTCTAAAGCTCTGGCATGAAAGGGTGCAGGTCATTTACATTCTGTCAAAGAATGTCAGGTCTTATAATAGTTGAAGTTTTCTGCCTCAAAACATAATTCTGACATTACCGCAGGTGCTCCGTCGATCTCGTCGATAATGAGGCAGTTCGGCCTCTCGTGGGCTCCTAGAACGGACTTCATCTGTGTGGCCGTGTCGATGCGTTTCTGGAAGACCTCTGCGCTGCGATCGTCACTGCAAAGACGTCAACAGAAACCAAAGGATGTCAGAACAGACGACGGAGAACTTAAGTCCTGTTCTGCTTCGATCCATGTCGTCCAACCTGGCGTTGATTTCCACCACGTTGTACCCAGCATGCTTTGCTATGACGTGAGCCAGAGTCGTCTTCCCTAAACCGGGAGGACCAGACAGCAGCGCCACCTGAACACAAACAAGAATTAGCCACATTGTAATGAATTCTGTTCATCTAACAGCATCTGATCATTATGCAGGTGCTTTACCTTAAACTTGGGTCGTTTGTACTGATCCAGCTCAGCCTCCAGGAGCTCCTCGGTTATCTCAATCTTACTCTTGAAGCGATTTGGATTCTGATTCCCTTGATTGGGTTTGAAGGAGTTCTGATTGGCAGCTTGTCTGTCGGAGCGAGCGGGGCGGGACTTCCTCTCTCTGCCGAACACCACAGTGTCCCACAGCTTGAGCCACTTGAGCAGACAGCGGTTTGTGAACTGCAAACATCGACATTAAAGAACCAGGTGTGTCTGTGTGGGGACTGATTTACATCCTTGTACAGAAACATTCGACATCACCCACGTCGTCACTGAGGAGCTCTGTGTAGTGGCGCGGAGAGAACCGGTCCACCCACAATCGAGATGCTCGTCCCTCTGTGTCTTCAGGATCCTCGTTCTCTTCGTTTTCAGCGTCCTCGGATGCAGCCAAGATGCCGTTCACGCTGCTGGAAGGAGACACGCAGACAAAAAAGACTCGCAAAACTGTGCCTGTGTGTGTGTGTGTGTGWGAGAGTAAAGGCTGGTTTATACTTCATGTCTCACGTCTCGTTCCCCCTGCTGAGCRACAAAAAATTGCGCAACTTCYGTCTGCTCTCCCGCTGCTATCCCCCGGTGACCGCCGTCTTGTGCATGGCCCCCAGTCAGAACYGTGAGATGCTGAYTTTGTGKCTCAGAGCGTGATTGGTTAGAACTTCRTGGGTGTGTTTGTTCATGAGGAACACTGCAGCTGCTGCAGCGCCTAGGAGCTGAAACTTTGATCAGCTCTGCCTTCTGCAGCTTTTTTTATATTTTTTTCTGAAGCTAGTWGTTAAAAGAGCTAGAAGAGCAGCTGATTTGATCCTACTGMACGTRAGCATGAAGCTGATTTTCACGTCTTTTTTCATCACCACCGTTAAAAAAAAAGTTTTTCCACCGCGGACTCTTCCTCACTCAACAAGACACTGATCATTGAGTGATAAAAATTAAAAAACACAATATCCAGCCATCTTTATTGCTGTTTATGTCCTTATATGAGCTGTGGGAGGGCAGAGGGAGGATCTATGATAATTAATGGCCCACTGCGTCTTCAGCTCGTTTATACTCGATCAGGAAAAAGACGTCCAAAATTACGCAGTCCCCAACCTGCTGTCTCACGTCTKACAGAAGTATAATCCAAGCTTAACAGTGAGAGTGAGTTACCTGTCCAGCAGCTCTGTAAGTCGCTGTGATTCCTCAACAACCTGCTGGTGGCGCTGCATGAATTCAAGAGAAACAAGYAGCATTTCTTACATTCCGACTGAACACAGAGCTACAAAATTTTTTATATATTTTTTTTATTTCAAACTTTATTCATTCCATAAAAACAAAATTATACGTACAATGAAAAATACAAAATAAAATGAAAGGTGACAGAAAGAAGAAAAATCTTATATCTGCCCCCCCC